GTCAACCCTACATCTAGTTCCCAGTCAACTCTTAACACAAGAGTGACTCCCCATTCACTATCTTTCAAATTCAGTTTACAAATTACAATCAACTCAGTAGAAGAACCAGTAAAAAGTAAACTAATTAAAAAGACAATCACTTCCTTAGAAACCCACTAAGGATGAACACCTCTCTAAAATCCCACTAGGGATGAACACCTCCTCTGAACAAATCAAAGGATGAAAAAACACCTCCTTAGAATTCCACTAAGGATGAACACCTCCCTAGAATCACACTAGGGATGAAAACCTCCTTTGAACAAATCAAAGGATGAAAACACCTCCTTTGCCACCAATACACAAAGGATGAAAGTAATAAAAATAAGAACAAACACACCTGGGTAATGGAGACAACAAATTGTAGAAGTCTGTAGAATGTCAATCTCCAAGAACAAGTGTGATTAACAATGAAAGCACATAAGGCAGTAGAGAAGAGAGTTTTCTTAAAAGGTGTAAAATATCTCTGTTGCCTTGCTCAAAATTCTTTTCTCAAAGCTGATTGAATGTAAATTGTATTTTCGAATTCTGTAATTGTGTGTTTTTTATTTTTCATCAAAACTTAATTAAATAGAAAAATAGCATCGGAAAATGGTCGTTGGACATTAATATTTGTGTGAATAAAAATCAGGATATATTCAAAAATATTTATTCTTCGAAACAGATATATTTTTCAAATTTGAATTGCCATAATTGATTATGTTACCAATATAATCAATTATAACAGAGAAAATCATTTTTCCATTTCTGATGCATCATAATTGATTATGACAGTGAAAAATATCATGTTATGAATTTTATCACACTTGTGCTTTGGAGGCTTATGCATAATATTACTTCATCAACTTGTACCTCCATATCCAGTATTCTAAGATTCTATCTAGTCTCCAGGAATTATCTTGGGCTTGCTTGAATCATCATCTTTATCAAAAACATATCTTGGGCATGTAGGAGAATGTTTCACATTTTCACCAACGTCATAAATTCAGCTTGTCCTTAATTCATCTTGAATGGTGTTTACTTGAATCATCATCAAAATCATCTCTTGGGAATGTAGGGACATTTCCATCAATCTCCCCCTCATTGCTTTCAACCGCATTCGTCGCACCAGTGCATTCGTCACATCACCACGTTACCTGTTTCAATTGTATCATAGCGTTTGCCGCATTTCAGTTGCATTACAGAGTTTGTTGTGTCACCACGTCATTACGTTTAGTCCTGTTATTCAGTCATGCTTATTAGAAAAAAAAAACAAAAAAAAATGTGGGTTAGTGAGACAACCCACCAACCCGTAGTGGGTTGAGTCGGGTTGTGAAATTATTGACTCGCCATAAAGTGAGCCAAGTTGAGCTCGCCTATTTTCAACTCAACCCGTGGTGAGCCAACCTGTGTGAGCCGTGTTAGGTCACTTTGACACCCCTAGGCATCATCATCTTTCAACTCAATAGCAATGAAGTTGTTGATCCCAAATTCGAGTCTAGTTGGGCAGCGAAAGTGGATGATTGCTACATTTTTATGGGGTTCTTTCTCCAATTTCCTGTGGATCAACTTCTTCAACCTTTATAGAGAAATTCCTCTCTTCAAAGGAACAAGTTTTGTATTCCCGGTATTGAAAGTAACTCCCTCCATGTAATATGGGTTCATGGAACCATTATAGTGGACAATAGTAGACACTACACCTATTTTAGAAGTGTGGAACAAAAGAAGACTAAAGGTAAGAAGAAGAAAGAATGCAAAGAGCTTCAGAGATTTAGGAGTTTGTAATGTGAAAACTTCAAAGAATGAAAGTGGTCTATTTATAATGAAGTCCAATTGTTTGAATTCAAGGCTCCCTTACATGACTTCTGGCGCACACAAAACCCAAGTAAAGTGGGTGGGTCAGCATCTCTTTCAATGTACTTGGATTCTTCTGCTTTTGCCTAACCCAATGCAGGGAATCCAAGATTGGAATCCTGACTTAGGTGGGTGACTCAGTATTGGATTCCTGACTTGTGTGCATCAGAAAGGTATGGGAATCCTGACTTGGTGGGTGACTTACCATTGGATTATTGACTTGTGAGCATTAGAAATTATATTTGGAGGTGTCTGTTTTGGGAAAAAAATTTAAAAAAATATTAATTATGTAAAAAAGATGCAAAATAATTAATCATAATTTAAAATAATTGATTATTTTAAAATTATAATCGATTAGTTTAACTTATAGTCTATTATAAATAGTTGCAGGTCGCCTCGCTCAAGCGATGAATTTCTCACTTGAGCGAGAGTTGACCACAGACTAAAGGTCTAACGTAGTTAGTCACATAATGTAAATTGGGTCACCACATATTTCAATTACTTCTCGCTCGAGCAAGAATTTTATCGCTTGAGCGAAATAGAACTCGACAATACCCATTAGTTGCAGGTCTCCTCACTCAAACGATTAATTTCTTGCTTAAACGAGAGTTTACCACATATTAAAGGTCCAACGCAGTTAGCCGCATAATGTAACTTGAGTTACCACATATTTCAATCCCTTTTCGCTTGAATGAGAATTTCGTCGTTTGAACGAAATAGAACTCGACAATATCCATTAGTTGCAGGTCTCCTTGCTCAAGTGATTAATTTCTCACAAGAGTTTATCTTGCGCAAAATAATCAATCATAATCTAAAATAATCGATTATTTTAAAACGTGAATAATAAATGATGTTAAATGGGTAAATAATGTTACATAAATACTATTTTGGGAAATATTTTTTAAAATAATATTATTTATGACAAAAAAGTAGTTCGGATGGGGAATGCTCTCTCATGTTATTATTATGTCAACATTTCACTACTTTAATTCCATGCACCATCCTTTTCCAATTCTAATTCCTACCCATCGATAGAAAAAAATATTATTATAAGTGTTTTAAAAAAGCTATTACATATTTGAAAATCGTTATTATTTAAAATTGAAAAATATTTTAATTATTATTATAAGAATTTATAAATACTTTTTAATATATTTATACCATTTTTCTGGAAACTAATATTTCATTTCTAGAAAATTTAATTATTTATCACATTATCCGTTTAAGAAGAGTAATATAGTGTTTGTGTTTTATATTTTTTTTTAATTCAAGAAAATTATATTGCAGTTTTTCCGTAAACAGCTTTTCTTGTCTGACAAAGAAATTCATAACTCTAAAAATTCATACAATTATATATATAAAAAATCTTATAGCCAACATTATCTTAAAATAATTATTGTAAAAGTTTAAAAAATTATCATAGTGATTTTTTTATTATTATTCTTATTCACAATAATTTGTATTTGAATACAATATACAATTTTATAATGTCAAAAATCATCTCTATTTTAGAAACAAACTGTCAAAATATAAATTATAAAACTATTATTTTAAATAAAATAATACAAATACGTTAATTTTTATCTTTTACATTTTTTATATTAATATTAGTTTAACTTATTTATATTATATTATAAAAAATAAAAAACAAATTCATATAAAAACTTATTTAAAATAATAAATAATTATGAAAAATATTTTTTTTACATTTTATTTTAATTAAATTAAATTAAAAAAATTCATACAATTTAATAAATAAAATAATTTTTTAACTAACAATAGTATTTTAATAATTTTTAAAATAATTATAACAATATTTGATTTATAAGTTTGAGCATTGCCGTAATAAAAATACGCTCTTTTTTATTATTAATAATTAGATGATATATCATAGTTGACTCAAATTGTTTAATATGTTATTAAATTTTTATAGAGATCAAAATTGTATATTGATGAAGCTATGATTATTAAAAGTGGATTTTAGCCTATAATCAATTTATAAAAATATAATAATTACTTTGAAAAATAGTATTAATAATATTGTGTATTATTAAAAAATATAAACAAATTTAACATTAGTGGTATATGAAAATAAAATTATTTTTAATTCAATTTCACATATTCTCGCAAAAAAAATATTATTATTTTTATAATCATAAATTTTAATAATAAAGCTTAAATATAATTTTAAGTTAGGATAAAGTGAATGAATTTTGATTTTGATCATTTAATATTTTTTTATCCTTCTAAATTTTAAAATACTTACATTTTATCATTATTACTTTTTCCATCTTTTCTTAGTATCTTTTAAAAATTTTATTTTTTGAAGAAACCAATAAATATAACATTTTTTTACTTTAATAAAGCATGTATAATATTATCTAGTTTACTTTTTTATATCATAATTAAATATATAAATTAATTAATAATTAAGTAAATATATATATATAATATAAAATAATGATTAATATTAGTTTCAAACCTTCTAAATAACAAATAAATAGAAATAAAAAGTCTCTCAAAAATCAACAGTTAACTAGAAATAGAGAGTATGATAAAAATTAGTTAACTACTTAAAGGTCAATTCACAATTCAAAGCCACACATAATGTAACATATATTTTGTTAATAAATATAAAATTATCTATTTATTTTAAAAACTAAAAATAATAATTTAAAAGTAGAGAAATAAAAACAATTTATATTTTTACAAAAAAAAACTAAAATAAAAAATTATCAAAATAAAAAATATATTTAAATTGGAAAATAATTATTAAAAAAATTGTGACATGAATCTATGACAAACAATATCTTTACCCCTAAAAATCAATGCTCATCAAATTCTTTTATTTTAGTTGCTGAGATCATCGGTTATTGTCCCCACATCATGGAATTAAAAATAGCCGTCAGACACTAACATCATATTTTAATCTTTACACGTAATTATCTCTTGTAATTTGAATTCCACACGTTATAATCAATTACTCTATCTCCCAAAGTTAGTAATTATTATTAATCCAAGTTGAAATATATTATGTATGTGAAGACTTAAACATTATTTTTTATACCATAACCATTATGCTAAATTAAAAATATATTTACACCGAAAACATATTATTAATCCAAAAATCACTAATCATCGTTATCTTCTTCTTCATCATCTTCTTCCTCACAGTGTTCTTTCAGATCCGAGAGACTCCTAGACTTAAAGTTTCCAAATCTAACTTTCATGTGATCAACATAGGACTTAGGTTCTCTTTGCTGTGTCTTCAAAACTTGATCTTCGTGTTTCTTTTCCTCTGATGAAGATGAAGAAGAAGATGATGGTGACACTTTTTTGGGGTTTTCTTCGTAGAAATCTTCATCTTCAATAAGGGGTAAAAGGGGCATCGATTTTGGGTTAGACCAAGTGTAGAAGGAGGATCTTCTCGACCACTTTGACGCTATTTGAACCCTTCTTCTCTTGTTGAAAGGGTTCTCTTGCTTCTGCAGTTCCTTCACTGTGTTCACTTGTGATAGATCTGTGAATGACTTCGATTTTCCCATGAAATGATTCGATAACCCCCTCCTTAAAAGTTGTCACATGCCCATGTCAGAATCAAATGGGATAAACACCCAGACAAATTAATCGGAAAATTAGATTTCTATTGAGAAAATTGCATCATGCAATTGAACAGAATCATGATACTTTGAGTGTGTGAAATGAAAAAAAAAAAGTTTACATTTCTTTTTAAAATTAAAAGACAGAGAGAGTAGAAAGGGTTGAATTGAGACACAAACTTGATGGGAAGAGAGTCTTCTAATGAATCGAGAGAGGCGAAACTCTTCAGCGTGTTGTGAACTTCTTCTTCTGCGTCGTTTTGGTTTCTTTTTGACGAAACGACATCATTTTCTTCGTCGCTCTCGTCCGGGGTTCCGATCGAGGAAGAGCTTTCAGAGGAGTCGCCGGAGAAGAGACCGTACGGGCGGTCGACTGCGGAGGAGGCGTACGGCGGCGGCGGAGAGGAGGGAACGTCGATGGTGAAAGTTGGACCCACCATAACGTCCATTTTCGCGAACGAAAGAAAAAAAAAATAGGAAAAGAGGATTACGAGGTGGAGAAAGTATAAGGTTGTTGTGTTTTGGTGTTGAGAGTGGAAACGCGGAAACTCGTGATTTGGGGGTACGGAATGAAGAATTCGAGAAAGGAATGAAAGGGAGGAAGAAGAGAATTGAAGAGAGAGTGAGAAAAAGAAAAAGAAAAAGAAGAGAGAGAGAGAGAGAGGAAGAAAAAGGGGATAATGTTCGCCGGCAGAGAAATGGCACGGAAGAACCTGGATTGACACGTTCATTAAGACAGATCAGGGGCACTGATCAGAAATTTATTTATTTATTTATTTTTCGTTATTTTGTATATTTTATTTCATTATTTTTATTATTAGGTAATTATTATGAAAGTTTTAACTTTCACGTTATACATACTTAATATTACATGAAATAAGACCCAAATTATTTATAAAAAAAGAAAAAATATAACAAATTTTACTAAATAATTATAAAAGTTAATAAAACTAAAGAAATAAATAGAGACTCAACAAGTATTTATAATAAATATAAGTTATTTCTTTTTCCTTTTTAATTGTAGTTTGTGTTAGTTTCTTTAAAAGATTTTAATATACCAATAAAATTTAGATAAGAATAACATTATTTTTAGCTTTTAAGAAAAGTCTCGTATTTAAATTTTAAAAAAATTAAAGATAAATGTGATTAGAAGAATATATTTGATTAAAGATTATCAGTTAAAATATTTTAATAAAGATATAATGATTTTCATATTCCTCAAATTGAACAAAAAATTTGTAACCTCAAATTTTTTTAGATGATGATGATAATAAAAATATATATATCTTCCCAACACATTCCATAAGGAAATCAATTTCTTAGAAAAACAAAAAAACATTCTGCTCATCATTAAACTATCGTATCTGAACCAAATTTGGAGTGTCTACAAGCTTCCTACCATGAATAAAATGCCAAAACTAGTCCTTTCTTTTTCTCATTGGAAAATATCTTTGGACAACTCTCCTTTAAAAAATACATATATCCAAATACTCTAGATTTAAATATATTATTAAATATAAATTGTAGGATATATGTCTCTTGATGTTTAAATATCATTATTTTTTTTGGAACATGATTTACAGACAATCAATGTAAAGTGGATAACCTATAAATTAATATAATAATGATAATATATTTTAATAAGAATTTAATTCACAATAATATCTTATCACATTGTTACTTTTCCAATAAGCATCCAAAATACAAAAGTTTACACGAACACCCGGTTTTTTTGGAAAATACCCTTTTAAATTAACTATAGTTATTGTAACAACTCAAACATATACATATTATATATATATATATATATATATATATATAAAGTAAAAATAAATCTATATTATTTTTAATTCTATATTTATTCTTATCCAATTTATTACATATAATATATATTCTGTTAAACCCATCATCGTTCCAAAAAATATATAAAATACACAAGATAATTTAATTTAAATATATATAATTTAAAATATGAGATAAAACAACCTAATTAAATTTTAAGTTTTTATATATTATATCACATCTATATAAATTTATATTCATGTAATACAACACTAAATAATTTTCGAAAAATTAAATATTAAAATATACTTCAAATATTTACACCTATTATATCACAACTTTTCAAATACATAACATAAAGATCCCCAGTTTGGTATTTACACTCACATCTAAACATCGTTCTTTTTCACACTACAAGTTAAATTATTAGAAATCTCCTTTGACTTTTATCTCTTGATTATTTGATCTATGTGATTCCAAGTAATTAGTAGAGTCAAAATATCTTCTTGAATTCTAAATCAATATTTATACATATGACACTACACATAAAATACTCCTTAATAATTCTCATATTACAACACAACATTTTTCAATACACATAATAATATTTAATACACAGCTCATTTTATATTCATAACATGTATTTTAATATCTTAAAACACACACACACACACATATATATATATATATATATATATAATTTCTCACATTATAATAAAATATAATTTTTATTTAAGTTGTGCCTACTCTTTTTGACCATAGTAGACATCATTTTTAACTAATTCTTATTTGATTAGATTTCCTATTTTTAGGATTTCAATTTACATATATATAATATTTAATTTAAAGTTATAAAACTATTTTTTTGATGATTTTTTGAAAATTATTGAACGAAATTTTGATAAAATAAAACTTCCAATCGTATCAAAAATTCGTTAAGTGAATATGAAAGTGTTAAACAAAATTTTAATATTTTTAATATTGCCTTAAATTTGCAAAGCGAATTTAGATTCACTAAGCAGATTAATTTAAGAACAATACATTTAAAGAAAAAATTATTATTTTTAATCTTATAAAAATCAATTAACATTCACAATCAATATAATTATCACAAATCAACACATACCCAATCACAATCAAACTTCCTAAAACATAATAAATGTAACAAAATCACTTTTACCATCCAAACCTTTCAAAGTAATAAAGAAATTAAAAAATAACTATCTTCATTTACCTCAAATTCAGTACCTTCAAATCAAATAATCCCAAAAACTCTTAAATCTTCAGAAATATAAATATTACTAACAAAAATTTCAATTAACAAATTGAACATACAACAATACTCCTAAACTAATAAAAATTAATCTTTTAATAATAAAATGTTCATGTAAATCTCTTGAAACCAGCCTAAACTTAAATATGTAAAAATAATCTAAAACTAAAAAAAAAACTAACTTTGTTTAAAATTTTAATGAAGTAAAATTATATTTTCTTTCAAAAACACTAAAATGTATTTAAATCTAAAAAATATGAAAGAATGAGAAATCTAAAGAAAAGACAAAAAAATAATCTTCATTTTAATTATATCACTTATATTCTTAATCACTTATACTCAATCTCACCATTACATCTATTATAAATAGAGATGAAGAATGTCTTTTTATTATACTTTTAAACGAATTAAAAATATATAACTTTATAAGAATGATTTTGAAAGAAATTACGCGTGGATAGAACAAAAAAAATGAAGTGTGAAAAAAAGTAGGAATTATTTATTTTTTTAATTACTTTTTGAAAGATGAGGTAGCATGATTTATTTTGAATGAAAATTTAATGATTAAATTTGATAGAAAAGAGGTACAACTATCTAATTTGGATTATTATTAAATAATCTCATAAAATTAGACATCTAAATCATTATAAAAAATGTATTTTATATAATGATATAGATAAATTTAATAAATTCGAATTAAATTAATGATAATTTTAATTTTTAATTATTGTATCAAATATTTTATGATATAATTACATAAAGTTAAATAGTTTTTCTTATTATTTTTAAATTTATTTGTTATTATTTTATTATTACTTTATTTTTTAAAGTAAATTAAAATTATTATCTAATAAGAAATACGTGACACGTGATTATATTTCTCAATATAACATTAATTTGAATGTAATAAATATAAAAAAATTTGCAAAAATATATACTTATCTATTAATTTTTTTTTCAGATACCTCAAGCTGTAAATAAAATAAAATTATAATAGTTCAATTCAAGAAAAACACTTAAGCAAATAATTTTTTGAAATAATACTAATTAAATAATAAAAATTATAATCAAACATTATTAAAAAAAAAGTCAATAAAAACAAACACTTTTCAGTAATTTAAATAAAAATAAAGAGAAAAAATATGTAAGAACACATGTTATTGAGTATATTTCTAACAGTTTATATAAAGCATATTCTACAAAACCGAGGAGTTCCTCAAAGCATATTCTGCAATTGTGGGTTCCCTTTGTGTGTAAGTAACTATTTTTCATCAAATTTCGTAACGTCAAACTTACAACGACATGTTTTCAAAGCCCTTGATCAGTCCACGTGTACAAACACAAGAAAAAAAAAAGAAACTAAAGAAATATAAAAACATTTGTTTTCTTTACTAATATTGTTACATGTGTGTGAAGAAATAATAAAAAACAAAAAAACACAAAGAGAATTTCATGATTTAACAACCACTTATTAAAACGTCTCTAATTGCCTTGTGCACACGACACAATAGTATTTTCGCTTGGTCTTAAAGCACAAGGGTAGAAAACAGAACCTCCATTGACTCTCCACATCAATAACCTGAACCATCCCTCCACAATAAGGGCATGCCCCTGGTGCTGTATGTCTCCCCAACACCTTTTCCTCCTTGTCACATACAAAAACCAAACACATCACACTATGTTCAAACTACAAGAGAATAATACTATGTTGTGGTTTTGTTTGTGGGTCTTATGAGTGAGAAAATGTTTTGAATTGACTGTGGTTTTGGATTATGGAGTGCTTATATAGAATGGGGAAAGAACATTGGGGAAGAGAACGAGAGAAGTGTGGAAGAATGGAGAATGTTCTAGAAGACAAAGGACGAGGTTGGAAGTGATAAGAAACTTATGGTCAAGAATGAAGTGTGTGTCTAGAAAATTCTTTTTCAGCTTCTACAAGTGTGATGTTAATTGTTTCGTGTTCGTGGTGGCATAGAGTTTACTATTTTTTTCTACGTTAATAAATTAGAAATTTTTTAAGTCAATATATCAGACATTTTTTTCCTTAAAAAATTTGTCCGAACAGAAAAAAAATTCTAAAATATAATAAAGGTTAACAAAATTCAGATGTTACAAGAATAAAAATTATAAATGATTTTGTATTATTTCAGCCAAATATATTCCGAAAATGAAAATAAATATCAACGTATAGATCAAGTTGCTTTATTTATAGAATTCTTATAAAAATTATTTTGAATAATTATTTAATATTAATTATTATTTTATTAAAAAATATTATATAATTATATAATTAAATAATCAAATATATTAATTACGTATTATTATCATAATATATATTTAAAAGAGTTAATAATAATTTTTTATTAAATATAATAAATATAAATTAATAAAAATTATGAAAAATTATTATTTTATATTATTAGATTAAAAAAATATTTTATTATCAGCCAACTTTACAACGATGTGTTCTAGATTTAAAAAGAGAAATAAAATAATTAATTTATTTATTTATAAGTTTTTTAATTAAAAAAATATCGCCTTATTAAATCATGCTTACTTTTAAGTCAAACTTTGTCCTCATCTTTACGGTATAATATATTTATTTTTCTTAAAACGTAAATTCACAATATACAACTTTCATTGTCATAAAATTTAGAGATTGGATTTTTATTTTTTTAAGCTTAAACAATTTTAGTTCGTCGTTACAAGGTGTTAATTTCAATATCAGAATCAAACAGATTGAAATAGTTATAATTTTTTTTATCTGATCAAATTCAATTCAATATGATTTGATTAAATTTTGAAAATAATATTTTTTATATGTTGAACTTGACATCTTAGTCTAATAAAAAATATTAAATAATGATAATATAATAATTATTTATTTTTTAATATATAATCAAATATTTGAATATAATATTATAATAATAATAATAATAATAATATTATTATAAATATTTTATATCTATATTAAAAATAATTATATATATTTTTAATATAAATATAATAAATTAAAATATATATTTAATTAATTATAATTAAAAATTTATAAATATTTATTCATATATAAAAAAGAATACATAAAATATATTAAAATTAATTTATTATAAGTATAATTATTTTTAAAAATAATATAAATCAGATATGGATCAAAAGTGAAGAAACTCAAAACTTAATAAAAATAAAATTAAGAATTTCTAATACTAACGAGACAAAACCCGCCCCTTACGTTGGTATGTAATTCTTAGCACTGGGACTAAAACATAGTGTTTGAATATTACGAGGGTTGGAATGAGTGGTTATTATTCATTTTGCGATAGTTGCAATGTCAAATGAATTATTGTGGGCTATTATTGACACCAATCCACTTTATTAATGCAGAATAAAGTACAATCATCTCAACCTTTGTGAATAATAATTCCGAGACAGCAAAAAATTGTGTTTAATAGCTACTATTTGTAAAACTACAAATACGAATGAATTGAAAGGAGAGATTTAAAAGCATAATCGGAGTCACTGAGAGTTCAGAATTAATATTAATCAAAAGGAATTAAAAATAAAAGATAAGTTATAACGTGGAAATTGAAAAAATAAATTAGTACTGTGTGATTAATTTAATATCGAAGATTGAATAGTTGAAGAAATCAAATCTAAAGTGGAAATTATTATATATAAGATATCAAGATAAAGTTACATAATTTAAAAAAATAGGGAGATAATTATTATTTTATTGTGAGATATATATATTAACGAGTGCTATATAATAACATGAGTCGAACAAAAGGAAGACGGTTATAATAAAATAATTGTTTATGAATTTTTATTCATAAATTTATGTATTTTATTTTTTGTCTTGCATGTAAAAAAAATATAAATAAGATAAAATAAATGTAAAATAGAGGATTATCACATTATACTACTTGTATTTTTTAAAAATTATTACAAACAAAGATGCAAAGATAAGAGTTTTTAAATATATTTTTTTTTTTAATTTAGATAGTCATTTTGATTGATTTTCTTTATAATCTTATGTTAAATTTATTTTTTATACAATTTATTTTTTTCACACAATTATCTTTAACTGCATATTTATTTTTTTACAATTTATTTTTATCATAATTTTATTATTAATAATATTAAAAATCCAAATAATATGTGAGAAATTTTTAATTGAAATACATTATATCATAATTATTGAATAATTGTCATTGTTGAATTTGTATTCACAAGTAAATGTTAAAAAATCTACGCGGTGTTTAAATAAATAATTGCGTTTTTGGATTATAGGTTAATCTAAAAACAATAGCACACATACAAGAATAGGTTAAATTTGTTTGGTTGGAGATTTTTTTCCATTCATTTCTTTTATTTTTTCTTTATTTATTTTCTCTTCCACTCCCTATATTTTTGCGCTCTTTACCGTATGGAGAATTTTATGTGCATGTGTAGTAATTAATAATAAGATTATGAAATATAATTTGTTTTTAACACTTTGATAAAACAATTCTCAGGTGTTTGTTAAAACCCGAGAAAGATTAGATTTGTGCTTGGACATGTGGTTATGGGGGCAAAGTATAAGAGTGTAAGGTGGAGGAGATAGGGTCCACCGATAGTATTGTCACTACTCATTGGGCCAGATCGTTATATGGCCCACAACATTAGAAAGCCCAAAATAATTATGGACCTAACCCAATATCCACCACACGCCCTTCCAACGCTACTCCGTGAGCTCACTATTACAGATTACAGATTAGATTGCACGAGAGATTCGTTCCATTTCCGCGTTCGAATTCCATGGCGAAGCCTTAGCCATAGTAATAACCGTCGAAAATGCTTCGAGCTCACATAGACGTTTTCACACCCTTCACTGCTTCACTCCACTCTAAGCCACTCAATTCCTCGCGCGTCCGTTCCTCTTCCGCTCCGACACGGCGTCGTCTGGCGACCACCGCCAGTCCTCGCGAGGCCAATCTCCGGCACCTCACTTCGCGCATTGTCCAACTCACTCGCCGGAAACAGCTTCGCCAGGTTAATTGAAAACCGATTCGACAAAGAATAATGTGCTCTGCTATTTTTTTCTTTTTAATTTTTTTTTTTTTGTGAAATGCTTTGGCTCAGATTTTGGATGAGGTTGAGGTTTCGAAGAGGCGGTTTGGGAAACTGAACACGATTGTGATGAACGCGGTGGTGGAGGCTTGTGTTCATTGCGGTGATGTCGATTCGGCGATTAGGATATTCGAAGAGATGAAGAAGCGCGATGGTTGTGGTGTGGATACCGTCACCTATGCCACGCTTTTGAAGGTATTTTATTAATTTCATACTTTTTGCATTTCCTTTTTTCTTTTCGAAATTTGCTTTGCTTCATATATTTTTTTGTTAGGAATGATGTGAGTTTTAATTAAGTATTCTGGTTGTAGAAAACTATAAATGATCAAGTATTTTAATGGTATACCGGAAGACTAGGTTTGTGTTCAGATGAAATAAAGGTATCTCAAAGTATTTGGTTTGAGAAAACATTTTCTATTTATTTTTTTTCGTTTTCTGAAAATAGTTTTTAGGCTTAATTATTTATTTGGTCCTACTATTTCGTCCCACTATTAATAAATGGTTTAATTTGGTCCCTTATTTTTTAGATTGAATCAATTTGTTTCCTTTTAATCAAATTGAGTTAAAATGATAATGCTAATTAGCACCTACAATCTTAAACTATATTATAGGTTTTTTAGTGACATTGTCACTAACCTAGACAATTAAAATTTAAGGTACAAAATGACATTGATTTAAAAAAAAATTAAGAGTCTAAGTTATATCGATTTGAAATTAAGGGATAAAATTTAACCATTTATTAGTAGTAGAACAAAATTGACTATAGTAAATAAATTATGGGACCAAAAACATAATTAAGTCTAGTTTTATTTTTCAACTTGTCAAGTTTTAGAAAACTTGTTTATTTATTTATTTATTTATTTTTCATTGGCTATTTGCTTTTGATTCCCATCTCTATGCCGCGACCATGTACCCACTGCGCCCTATATGCCACCCTTGACTTTAGAAACACCGTGACAGTCAAGTGGCTCCCAAGCGCCGGAAATGTTACTTGACATTTATGGGTGGGCAAAATGCATGATCTGAACTAATGTAAAATTGAATTAAACTCTAAAAGTGGCTTGATAATACTGAACGGAGTTGTATAATTGTTCAGAGGAACCGAATTGAACTGCATTATACTAAACCTAAATGAACTACTCTGCGTGAACTATCTAGGCATACCCACATCTTCTCAAGAACTGGAAAGAGCATGTAGCAAAGCTTTCAAAATAGGCTAAAAGAAAAGTTTAGTTGATTTCTCCCAAACTATGAATCAAATCTGAAATAACTTCGAGGAGACAGGCTTTGTGTGACCTATACACATTACATGATTTAACCCAGAATTTCACTAATTTGATGCAACCAAAACAAAAGCCTTAAAGAACCCTAACCTCAGAGTTTTACTCAAAAATTATTGAGAAATAGATTCTCCCTAGTCCTTCAATGAGCCATATCCAGAACAAAAACCAGAACTCAGTCACTCTACAATAATTGAAAAACCCAGAGATGATAAAATTGTTAAGATTCCAACATAAAACCAATTGGCAATATGTGGAGTAGCCTAACATGTATTTAAACCATACCAAATGACATGAGGTAGGCGATGTGGGACTTTCAACACGCCCCCTCCAACGAAACCTGCCGGACCAGGCAAAAGGTACTTTTGACCCAACTAAAGGGCAACTTTTGGCCCATGACAATAACCGGAAAGTTGTTAAGCTTTGGCTCTGATACCATGTTAAGATTCCAACATAAAACCAATTGGTAATATGTGGAGTAGCCTAACATGTATTTAAACCATACCAAATGACATGAGGTAGGCGGTGTGGGACTTTCAACAAAAATAAATATCATCCTTGAAAATTTTCTGCTAATTAACAAGTTCAGGATCACAACAAATCAAGACCAAATCATAACAAATCTCTATCAACCCATAAAGCCCACTAAAGTACATCTCTCCAAGATCGAGAAAAATACACTGAATTAAAAAATTGAGACAGGAATTCCATATAAATGACAAAAAAGCAAGATGTGAGTTTGTGTCCAAGTGCAAGAGTGATGAGGTCGAACCTTGACATGAGGTCTAGAGCACAATTGGCAGTGGGTGCAATCACTCTGAAAGAGAAACATAGATGAAAAGGCTAAGCATTTTGAAATCACACATGCAATTTGGTTTGGTTCATTTTGTTGTATTTAATGCAGTATATTTACCGAATTCACATAACATGTTCATCGACACATAGTAGAACCCTTTAATTAAATATTCTCTCTCATGAGGAGTTTTTGGAATGAAAGGATTCTATCATTTATCCCTTTTTCTATTATTCATTTTGAAGATGAAAAGTTTGCTGCCTATTTCGTCTAAACCCCTCCAAATGTACCCTTATTTTCTCACTGATATTCTCTGTTTTGCAATCTAACAATTCAATGCTGCATGCTCTTTAATTATCTGTTCTTTCTGAGCTTGATTGGAATTTTACTTTAAATGCAACATAAAGGGGTTAGGCGAGTCACGAAGAGTTGATGAGGCTTTTGAAATGCTTGAAACTGTGGAAAATGGCGCTGCCATGGGAAGTCCAAACTTATCAGCTCCTTTGATATTTGGTCTGCTAAATGCCTTAATCAAAACTGGTTAGTCAGATAGTCAGGTTTGGCATGCATTTTTGTTTCTGATCTTTTTGTTTATGAGAATTTTGCTTTTGGTGTTTTTACTTTGCACTTGGTTTTGCATCATACTTGTGCAATTGTATGTAATAGCCAACTATATATGATGGCACACTTGATTGAAATTTTGCTGACTTTCAATTTTTAAGTGCTACTTGTTTGTTCTTGGTTTGAGTCTATCAAGATATTTTAAAAACTTCATGTTGACTGGTGATGTTTTACTTGCAATGCTATAGTGCAGGAGACTTGCGTCGTGCACATGGTCTCCTTGCTCGTTATGGTTTTGTGTTTCGAGAAGGTGGCAAATTTTCGGTCTCTGTATACAACATACTAATGAAGGTTTTGCTCTGAGCTGTAATCTTGAACGCAAAAAAGCATCATTAAGAATAGCATGTTCGGTATGCAAGTAGTTGTAATGAAATTTAATCTAGAATGCTTCCTTTTTCCAAAATTTAGGGCTACATAAACTCAGGCTATCCACACACTGCGATAAACATGCTTAATGAAATTTTACGTCAAGACATAATGCCGGACAGGCTCACATATAACACGCTAATTTTAGCCTGTGTTGAGAGTGAAAAGTTGGATACGGCAATGCAATTTTTTGAGGAAATGAAGGTAATGTGATGATTTGAAATTTAACTGCATTGTTCCTTTGGTCAAGAAATATGAAAATGTTTTGAATTTGTAATCTTTGATATTTATAGGGCAGGTCTCATAAATTTCTTGATGATGATATGTTTCCAGATATTGTTACGTATACGACATTGCTTAAGGTGAGATTTTTGTAATTTGTTCACTCGCTATTTGTTATGACATACAACTGTACGTTGATCAGTTCAAATATGCTTTATTCTGAAGATGTTTTTGATGGGTAGTGTGTCCACAGTTGTTTTCAGTTACTTCCATGTATCTTATTTTAATTGATGTTAATGTTCACTTATAGGTAGTCTTATACCTAATACGCATTGACTACTTGTTTTTGTTTTGGCCCATTATAAATCCTACAATTGGTTTTGGGTGTGGAAGGGCTCTCCAGCATCTCTCTCAGTTTATCTCTCTCTTTAATGCAGGGTTTTGGAAAGGCAAAGGATCTTGCTTCAGTTCTGAAAATAGTTCTGGAAATGAAATCTCGTTGTGAATTATACATTGATAGAACTGCTTACACTGCAATAATTGATGCTTTTCTAACATGTGGCTCAGTTAAGGGTATGCTTTCATTAGTGAAGTGTTTCTTTAGTGGTATAGTGATAGTTTTCAAGAATGAGTAAACAATTAAATGTTTATGGTAGCTCCTTTTCTATTGACAGGTGGAGTAAGATATTCTTAATCCTAAAGTGTGCTAATAATTGAAATTATGCTCATTTAATTAATTGGTTCTTCTTGTCTCTTGAATTGAAGTGTCAAATATTATTCTAGTGCAGTGTTCTTCTGGGTTAAATTGTTAGCAAAAGTTTTAACTAATATTCGTTTCTACTGGTGTCATAGTTTTTATCAGGATAAGTCAAACTCTTAGGAAACTTGAACACAAAGCTATTTCTGGCACAAAGAAAGAACAACTAAATTGTCCAAAAAAAAAAATGAAAAAGAAAAAGCTGCAGTTTTCTTCATATTTGAAATGTCTGTTAGCGCTGCTTGCTGAATGAATTTCAACTGCTGGTTTTGTGCTGTTCTGTCCCAGTAGATTCCTTATCTTCTTCTCCCTCATAAAATAGATACCAATTACTTGGATCGGGTGAAGGAGAGAAGAGAGGAATAGAGTGGTAAAGGACACGGTGGAAATATGATTTTTCTATTGTTTTGGATGAGACAGAAATGGGAAAGGAGTCATGGGTTCCTGCCAATAGTATAGGTGTCTAGAGCCCATATGCTAGGAAGCTTCCAAAATTCCTTCATTACAAACTGGCACCGTGTAAAACAGAAGATACATGAAAGAACAAAATGCCTAGGAATTTGCGTTTGGGGCTGGTATTGGACTTCGTGACTTAGGGTGCCTATAAGAGAGAAATATTTTAGTATGGGGCTGGCCAAATTTATTCTCCTCCCCAAGAGAGATTTCTCATTTCATTTCTTTTGTATTTGCATACAACACTATACATTTTTATCATCCATTTACATGTATGTGAGTATCCTCGTCTTCTTTCTATTCACTCTTCCACTCATTCAAACAAAGCCTAGAGAAATTTCTGATTTCTATCCATCTAAATAATACATATTCTCACCATATTTCTCTGTTTTATTCCCTCCATTCAAACAAGAAGGTACTCTGTGCTTGTGCCCATTTATAATGTGTCCATTAGTTAAGATGGTCTGTTTAAGGCGAGATAGTAACTATAAGGGTTTTGGGGTGCCTCTGGGATATCACCGCATGTACTTGAATTTGTTGGCTGTCCCAGCTTTTGTTCTTAATAACAGTTTTTGGGTCAATTTTGCCCAATTTTATCATTTTTATCTTTCTCCTATACTAGTGGATTCTATTACCCATACTTTTGTTTTATTAAATAAATGATAACTTAGCATTTTATTCTTCATCTAATTAAATCATCTTTTGGCATTTAGGGGCTCTGTGTATTTTTGGAGAAATATTGAAACAAGCTGGTCTGAATCCAGAGTTGAGGCCAAAGCCTCACCTCTATCTTTCCATGATGCGTGCCTTTGCTTTTCTAGGAGATTATGATATAGTTAAAAATTTACATAAACGGATTTGGCCCGATTCATCAGGAACCATATTATTAGTTGCTCAAGAAGAAGCTGATCACCTCCTCATGGAAGCAGCTCTGAATGCTGGTCAGGTATTTCCCTGATACTAGTGGCCACTGACATTGATGTGGAAAGTTTTTTTTTTTTTTTGTCCGTTATTTATTATTTTTTTTAATATATAAAGAGAAATGATCTAGAGAGAGAACTTTTGGAGCTGGACTTGATTAATCCAACTTGTAGTACAAGTCATAATATGTGTACATGTGTACAATTAATAAAGCCATGTCTAGTAAATAGTGTGTAATGTGTTTGGAAATCCGTCATGTTTTCTTTAAAATCATATCATTTCGACGTTTAAAGTTGAAGATAGTACGCATAGCTTTAGAAGTTTCACATCTTCCACGCACATATGCAAGGTTAGACGCTCAAAATCTGCATTTTGCTTGATCAATGTTGATGCCAGGCGTTGAATGGCGGTTACTTAAAAAACATAAAATGTATTAAAATAAAAAATGCTAAAATAATCTGCTGAAGATAAAAAAGGACTAATAACTCATATCAAGAACAATATTGTTATACAAAAATCTTCTAGGGAATAAAATTCTCCAAAACTATTCGAAATTGAGGATAAAAAAAACACAAAAGGCTAAGTGTAAAACAATTTGCTACAGTAAATCCTATGGATTGAGCATTTTACTAAAAGTAGCGATAATAAGAGAAAACATTTAATTGAAGGCAAATCGAGGAACTTGGTGAAACCCTTTAGCTACTGAGTTTTGTATTTCTTAGAGAGTGGATTTTAAGCTCAATACAACTTCACAAAACTGACGTGTAAGGGAAGGTTTACACCCCCTTATATATTATAATTTGTTCATATTTCTAGCCAATGTAAAATTTTCACCACATTTCCTTATGTTAAGGAATTGATATTTTAAACGTGAGATTAGATATTTATGGGTGGTTGTTTGATCATGTTTGTCTATCCACTTGAGATTTCTATTGCTTGAACTTGGAATACACCACTCTTATGTGTCAAGACATAAATCCAAACATTCCATGAATAGTCATCAATCAAAGTTAACATGTATCTTGCTCCACTAAGAGAAGGAACACTTGATGGAGTCCCACAAGTCTTGTGAACTATGGTGCTAGATTTTACTCTACATTATTTTTGATAAAAACAATGCTCACAAAAGTCTAGCTTTCAAGTCCAATGTTCTCTAAGTAAGCCTCTCGTTAATTTCATTCTCAACCATATGGCCCAACCTCTTGTCACAACCAAGTTTGATTAAGATCTTACATAGAAGAAACTACAATTGCACCTACCACTGTCTTGCCTTGCAAGATTAGTAGTAAATGTTATAAAAACAGAGTATTGCAAAACCTAATGCGAGACTCATGAGTGTTGCACAATTCTTCACAAATGTTGGCCCCAACTATTGCAGATCTGGAACTTCATATTACTTTTGTTCCTTGATCCACGAAAATTGCCATGACTCTCCTTCCACATATCTTGTCACCTCTAGAACTTTAAATGGATATTTGGCGTGGGAGGTTGGGTTTTTTGAACCCATCTACACCTATAAATAGATGCTTGTGCCCCCTCCGAAATCATCAAACACACATCTCTCTCACTTACAACTCATTTGCTCTCCTCTCTCTTTTTCTTCTTCTCTTATATCCTGAGTTATTACTTTTAAAGAGTTTATTACTAGTTTTGTTTGTGTTTTCATCAGCATTCACAATAGTAAATGCTTCAACTTTCCTTTCTTAATTATTAAGGCATCTATAGAAACTCTTAAGACTCTACCTTTAATTTGATATGAACAACAAAGAAAGTATAAAGTGCTCAAAGAAATTAAATTCTTGCGGATTTTGGGCACATACCTCACATTGGCTTTTTCTTGTATGTGAAGTTAATTTTTATTGGTATTGTTGAGATCTGTTGTTCATCTATCTTTTTGTATGTTCCTTAGGCTAGGGTTAAGGGTTTGGGTTGAGGCCCATATCCTCTATTGTATCTTCTTTTCTATAAATACATTGTAACAGTGCCTTTTGTCACTATATCAAACCCTAAATAAGTTTTCTCCAGTTGGTACTGGAGGCATGTTCAACTGGAGAAATTATTTATCCTGGTCTGCATCAGTTGAGTTGTGGTTTCTTGGTTAGGAGCATCATGACCATCTGAGGAAAGATGTAGACTCTATTTCTACTGTAGAAAGGTCTCAGTGGGAGAAAATAGACTTCAAACTTTGTGCAATTTTATGGCAGTTTGTGGATTCAGAAGTTCTTGAGCTTCTCTGGTCATTCAAAACCTGTTATTCTTTTTGGATAAAGACTCAAGACATTTTTGCTAATGATATTCAACGCCTCTTTGTTGCAACTCAATGAATGACGTCACTCAAGCATACCAATCACAACATGATGACTCACATTGCAAAAGCTAGGACTGCTATGGAAGAATTGAAAAGGTTTTTTTATAGCAAATACCTTAGATGAGTTAACTCCAAACTCGATAAGATGTATATGGTTCTAATTTCGAGAAGTTTGCTTTTTGATTTTGATCATGTGCATGATCAAATTCTAACTGGTGATCAGGTTCCGTCAATGGATAATCTTGTCTCTTGGTTGATTTGGTCAGGTGGAAACTGTTGAAATTTCTGTTATGGTTGCTCCTCGTGGTCGAGTGGAGGATGCAAAAGTCGAGAAGGATGTGGTAGTACGAAAGTTTGTCCTTAATGCTCCTATTGTAAGAGGATGGGGCACATGGAAAAAAACTATTATTCCTTGCACGATTTTTCTGACAAGAATATCACTGCCCATGCCTCTAAATCTGAGAACCCAGATATGAAGATTTATGATGAGGAGGAATGAAGTTCAAATCTAGAAAGTTTAGTAGATAGGATCAATCTTCTTTAATGCCAAGTGTTTCAACAACATTCATTTCTCAATCTGTGGAAGGTCATAACCCATGGATTCTTGATTTAAGTGCCTCTGATCATATATTTGGTAATAGTTCCTCGTTTTCCTTTATGTTCTATCCTAAAATTCCTCACTTAATCACTGTAACTAATGAATCCAAAGTGAAATCTCAAGGAGTTGGCCAAGTTCCTTTAACCTCATCTCTAAATTGAAATTTTGTTCTTTTCATTCCTAGTTACCCTTATACCTTGATCTCTCTAAGTCAACTGACTCGTTCTTTGAATTGTTATGTAACTTTTACTTCCAATTCTTTTTTTATTTAGGAATATGGTACGAGTCGTCTGATTGGAGAAGGACATGAATCACATAGTCTGTACTTCGGTGTCTTGTCTGGTTACTCCTGTCCCTAAACTTTTGCATGATCATTTGGGCCACCCAAGTCTATTTGAGTTGAAAGTGATGACTCCTAATCTTTAATATCTTCGGGTTTTAGAGTGTGAATCTTGTCAATTAGAAAAACATGTTAGGTATACTTTTCCTAAATAGTCTGAAACTTGATGTAATTTTCCTTTTTCAAATATTCATTCTGGTGTTTGGGAACTGAGTCATATTTCCTCTTTTGGCTTTCGGTATTTTGTGACCTTTATTGATGAATTTTCCATATGTACTTGAGTTTATTTAATGAAAGACAGATATGAACTTTTATCCATTTTTGTGTCTTTTTTCAATGAAATTAAAAATCAATTCGGGAAGATAATTAAAGTTCTCAGAAGTGATAATCCCAAAGAATATTTCTCTGCCTTCTCTTCTTTTTTTATCCTCAACAAGGAATTTTACATCAATTAACTTGTCCTTACACCCCACAACAAAATGACATTACAGGAAGGAAAAATAGATACCTTATTGAGATTGTACGTTCTTTAATATTGAATGCTAATGTCCTTGTTTATCATTGGAGAGATGCAATTCTCACTGCTTGTTTTTTTATTAATCGGATACTATCTTGCTCTCTTAAAAATCAAATCCCACATACTCTTATCTTCCAAGATGATCCTCTTTATTATGTATTTCCTCGTGTATTTGGTTGTACCTGTATTTGGTTGATAAACTAAGTGCTAAGGTCATTAAATGTGTTTTCTTGGGACACTCTCTCCTTCAGAAAGGGTATAAATGTTATTCTCCATCCTTCAAAAGGTATTATATGTCTGAGGAAACACCCTTCTTTTCTTCTCCCATGGAGGATGGTTCATCCATTCAACAAGTTCTGCCTATACCTTCATGTGATCCACTTATAATACCTTATAATTTCCCAATTCAGCCAATAGGTCATAATGATTATCCTCCTCTTTTCACACCTCCTACACCTTTACCAGTTCCTATAAATAATCGTGATTCAGATCCGTCTCCATCAGCTACTCATACCATGGATCCTTCAACCTTATCTCCCACGTTTGATTCTGGCTGGCCTATTGCACTTAGAAAAGATACTTGTTCCACTCGGAATCCCTTTCCCATTTATAATTTTTTTAAGTTATCATCGTCTGTCTCCTTCATATTCTTCATTTGTTGTCTCTTTGGCTGATACTTCTATTCCTAATAATGTCCATGAGACACTTGATCACCTTGGATAGCGACAGACCATGATTGATGAAATACAAGCTCTTGAGTACAATGACACTTGGGAGTTTGTTCCTCTTCCTCTTGGCAAAATGGCAAAAAGACTATAGGTTGTAGATGAGTCTATGCAGTTAAAGTTGATAATAATGTTAAAGTGGATCGTCTCAAAACTCGTTTAGTAGCTAAAGAATTCACTCAAATTTATGGCATTGACTATTATGATACCTTCTCTTCAGTAGCTAAGATTTTCACTATTCGTCTTTTCCCTGTTATGACTGCTATTCGTTATTGGCCCCTTCACCAACTGGACATTAAAAATGCATTTCTTCATGGTGATCTCCAGGAAGAGATATATATGAAGCAACCTCTTGATTTTGTTGCTCAGGGGGAGTCTGGTTTAGTGTGTAAGCTATAAATGTCTCTTTATGGCTTGAAGTAGTCACCCCGAGCTTAGTTTGGGAAATTCAATCATGTTGTGCAGTTGTTTGGTTTGAAAAGGAGTGAAGCATGTCACTTAGTGTTTTATTGTCATTCCTCTTCAGACAAATGTGTATCTTATGGTGTA